TTTTGAATACAAATTCCTTTGTAGTTATATGAAGCTTTGCAGATGAAAAGAAGTGTCATACTTAAGCAATAACTCTTCAGTAGGCATCAGAGAAGGAAACGTTTGCATTCCTCTATTCCCAGGGCCTACAAGACCTGAAACAGGTATTATCTACGTAGTCTTTAGTACAGCTGAAATGCAAAGCATCATAAGGCTGGAAAAGACTCAGTGTTTCAAAGCCACATTGCAAGCTAGTGGCAGAGCCAGGATCCAATTGCATGTTTCTGTTTCTGTGCTTAACACCACCACACTTCATGTACTTCCCTCTGAACTAGGATTCACAGAATCCACCAAAAAAAAAAAAAAAAAAAAACATTTCCATCATTCAGACTCATAGCAACACTAGTGAAGGCTAAACTGGTTGTAAAATATATACTTCAGAAAATGCTTTTCTGATCTTTTAGATCACTGTATTTTTAATACTTTTCAATCATGGGTCTTTCTAGTACATATCAGACTTTTCTAAGTACTGTTATTTTAAAATGTTTTATTTTCAGCAACTTCTCTTTGGCTCCAAAATCCCTTCATGGCAGGCTGGTCTAGGTTTGGTGGACTGAGGGTGTTTTTTTGTGTTCCTAAAAATCCAGGTTTCCTTTTCCTTATGAGTAGTCTAAATGTTTTCCATTTCATTCTTTCTAAAAGTACATGACTGTTATCTTCTCATTCTCTCAAAAATATACATGTAAGAACACATGAGCACTTTCCAGAATATCGTTGATTTTCCAGTTCATAGAAATTAGAAGCTTCATTATATCTTTCCATTTGCATAAAATGTATTGTTGTTGTTGTTGTTATTTGCCATCGAGTCGGCCCCGACTCATAGCGACCCCTCCTTGGGTCCGAGGCAGTATCACTACGGAAGTAGGAATGCCCAACCTTCCTTCCGAGGAGTGGCTGGTGGGTTTGAACCGCCAGCCTTCTGGTTAGTCAAGTGCCTTAGGCAATATGCCACCAGAGCTCCTCCCGCATAAAATGTAGGTGAGTCAATTTTATACTTCAATCAAATACTTTTATTTCTGAAATATAGTTCAAAATTAACACTATTATTAATAATTGATAACTCTCTTTTAAGTTACTGAGCTAAATACCTTATATATATATTATCTCATCTATCCTCAAAAACACGCTGTGAGGTAGATAATGTAATATATTGTTGTTGTTGTTATGTGCCATCGAGTCTGGCCTGACTCATAGCAACCCCTCCTTGGGTTTCCGAGGCGGTATCACTACGGAAGTAGATTGTCCAACCTTCCTTTCAAGGAGCGGCTGGTGGGTTTGAACCACCAGCCTTCAGGTAAGCAGTCAAATGCATTAGGCACTATGCTACCAGAGCTAAGTTAATGGCAGTAGCATCTACATAACTTCAGGCAGAATCTAGTCAGCCTAAAGTCTCCCACTCCTTGTCTTCCCACATGTAGTCAATCACCAATACTTTAATCTCTACCTCCTCAACATTTTTCCTATTTGAGTCCTCCTTCTTATTCCCACTATATTACCTCAGTTCAGAATCTTCTAATCTCATGCCTGGACTAGTGCAAAAACCAATTCTCAGCTCATCGGAGTTTATGCTCCTTTTCATCCACCGTCTTCACAGCAGCCAAAATGATCTTCCAAAAATACAAAATTGATTTTGTTACTCTCTGTTTAAAATCCCTCAGTGACTTCTTTTACCTACTAAGTATACTCAGAATTCATCATTATGGCATGAAAGTTCCTCCCTAACTTTCCAGATTTACCTTTCCCAAGCTTTCCTATAAAATCTACATGTAGCCAAAATATGTCGCTTATGTTTTTCTGAAAACCCAAATTTCCTTAAAACTTCCCTAGTTTGCCTCTCATGTCTCTTTCTCCCTGTAGTATCCCACAGCTCCCTTAACATCCCCCCACCCCACTCCTGCCACCGCATCGTGCAGACCATCTTAAAACTAACTCATGTCAATGATCTTTCCATCTATGAAAACTTTCCTGACCTCCCCTACTCTTCTGTCCTTATCAGATAGAAGTGAGCAAGCTATCCATTGTACCATGCACTTGTTTCCATCATAGCACCTTATTCCACTTTTTTCTTAGTTCAGAGTTATAGTAGACTATAAGCTTTCTCATAAATAGGGACCATATATTTTACATTATATTCTTAGTACTTTGAATGTGCCTGGCATAACATGACTCCAAACATTAAGTGTTTGGAAAGATGATATATGGGTATTGTCCTTCATTTTTACTTTCTATCTTCTGAATTGTTTGACATATTTTAACACATGTAACACACTTACTATATTGAAAATTTTAAATAGAGAAAAGTTATTTCTTTTATTAATTCTAAAGAAAAAATATTTAATTGCCCCATCTTAATTGTGCCACAATTATTTTCACAACAAAGTTATATAAACTCTATATAGCTAAGAAATAAATAGGCTTCTATAAGGACATTTCTGTAAATATTTTCATTACAGTAAGATGAAAACAAGGAGTCATACATGTAGGGTAAAATAATTATTTCCAGATGTTTGCCCAAAGACACCTTTTTGTAAACGGCATTCCTACTGTTTAAATTTCCATTTCTTACAAAGAAACTGCCAGATGCTGCAGCTAGTGTTCTATCATGGTGCACTCCACCCTTCACCTTTAGCAGAACTTATTTGTACACTCTGTTCCCTGATTATGCTGGTCACTAACCCTTGTGAGAGTTCCTGCCTCCAGTCAAAGATGAAAAATGAAATTATACATAGACCATTCCAAACCACACCCTTCAAAGCTGACCCTGTCTAAGATTTGTTGGACGAAAACTTATCATATCCTATTACACATATCCTGTGGCTACAGAAACTGACATCTCTGCTTTTGTTATTCAACTTCGTGCTAAGAATGCTGAAAATTCCAAATGACCTCTAACAGCTTAATGGTAGTTTAGGAACAAAATTCATATCAGTGGGTCTCAGGTAGAGGGGCATACAACAAGTAGAAAGTGAATGGAAAGGTTTAGTAGAGGAAATGAAGGAAAGTGTTAAGTTATTTCACAAAGGAGGAAAACATTAAAGAAAAAAGTAAAGAAAATCTGGATACAGTCAGAAGGGAAAGAACATGTTAAGATACAAACACTGAATGAATATCTCTGATATTGACTGACATAAAATATTGAAGAGAACACTTTAGGAATTCTCGAGGAATGGAATATAACAACAACAACAAAAAAAAAAAAACATTGCCTTTGAGCCAATTCCAACTCATAGTGAACCGTTAAGACAAGAGTAGAACAGCCTCATGGGGTTTCTAAGACTGCAATCTTTACAGGAGCAGACTATCACATCTTTCTCCCATGGAGAGGCTGGTGCATTCAATTAGTTAACTTCTTAGCAGCCAAGTGCTTAACTGCTGCACCAGTAGAGCTCCTTGGAACGGAATATAGTGAAAGGAAACTCATATTTTTGGAGTGTCGATGATGTATTGAGTACTTCACATAGCTTATCAAATTAAGTACTCATTGTTTCTGTTAGCTTTCATTGAGTAGGCCCTGACTCATGCTAAATCCATATACAACAGAACGTAATACTGCCAGTTCCTGCCATTCCCATGATCGGTTGTGGATTGGACTGTTTAGATCCACAGGGTTTTCATTGGCTGATTTTCAGGAGATCATCAGGTCTTTCTTCCTAGTCTATCTTAGTCTGGCAGCACCTCTGAAACCTGTTCAGTACCATAGCAGCATGCCAGCCTCCACCACTGACAGACAGGTGGTGGCTGCACATTAGATGCATTGGCTGGAATTGAACCCTGTCTCTGTTGTGGAAGGTAAGAGTTCTACCACTGAACCACCTCTGCCCTCATAGCCACCTTGTAAGCGAGGTTTTGGTACTTCTATCTTATATCAATTCAAATTAATATGAATAAAATAATATCAGGCACATATTAAACACTGTATACATTTTTACCATCATTAATATTCTATAAATCAAAAACTTGAATCCCAAGGACACATAAGTAACTTGTCCCAGATTATGTAGTTAGTAAGTGGCATATTTAGTATTAGAAACTAGTCTCTCTTTATACAATATGAGGTCTTTCACTATAGCTTAAGACAAATGTCCACTTTAGATTGACTGAGTTACCTAGGAAATAAGACCCTTCACTAAGAGTGCCAATTTTCTCTTCTATGGAACTGAAAAAACTAAATAAACACCAGTTATTAATCCTATGTAATAACTTGAAATAAAATTATACAAATGGAGACTAAATGTCACTCCAATGAAACATTTCCATAATTTGATTCCATCAACCCAATAATATTTTGGGGGCTGAGAGAGGAAAAGGGTATAAAGATTAGATGTCATTTTGTCTTCTGAGAGCCTGATTTATTTATTGCATCACCAAACTTCAGAGCTGAAGGGATGTTGGAAGTATTTATTTCAATTCCCACTCAAGACAAAATTGAATGTGAGGTTGACATAAATCTCCCAGGACTTGCAACTTCAAGATGTAGAACTATTATAACAAAGAACCAGGGTTAGTGTGTCTGGTTGGAAATCTCTCTCTAAAGCCATAAATCCAAAACTAAGAAAAAAGTAGCTTTTCTAAATCTAAATTCCCTGATCAGATCCCATAACACAAACAACACAGGATTTAGTCTTAATAGGAGGTGGGAAGAGAAGACTTTGCTTTAATTTTACATACAATCTTACCTTTATTTGCTGTATCTATATGACAGAAAAAGCTGCACATCCTCAACTGCAAACTGCTATGCCCGCAGTAGAATCCAGAAGAAACATCTGGGTATATACTGAGTTTAAATTTTCAGATGTACATATAGGTGGCATACAAATTGTGGAGACTGCACAGTTACACTTACTGTAAACTATAAAAACATTTCCTCTATTCCCTCCATTTTTCCCAGTTCTCAGAGAGGTATCTAATCTCATGCATCTCTCAAGGACTATGGTCTGTTTGGAATCTGGGAGGTAGAATACCTGTGCGCTCAGGTCCTGGATGCCGGGTTGTTGTAGAGGCTCGAGAGTGCAGGCTCATGGTGGTGTCCCCATCATCATCTAGCATGTCCCTTGTGCTGCTGTACTTGGCTTGCATCTAGATTCCTGCAGGGATGTGGCAGAGATGTGGTTGGATAACTCCAGGACACCTGGCTACCGTGAGAGAGTTGAGGAACCCAGAAGCTGAGAGTCATTCCCAATGCGTGCCTCTCCTGCAAATAGCAGGGGAAACCTCTGGCTTCAGTTCCCGCCTGCTGAGGCCCAGCCCCTTTCCATTGAGCTTGTACTCTGAATGCCAAATTGGTCCGGCTGAGGGGAAGTAGCATGTGTAATCTGTTTGGGCTATCTCTGCCTGAACAATTATTGAGGGGATTGCATTCCTGGGACCTCTTCTGGTCATTTGTTTATACTTCCTGTGTAACTACAGTTTAAAGAAAACAAGTTCTTACAATAGCATGGCTTTTCATTTTGAATCTGAAGAGTGATAATCAGCCACATACGACCCACCTTCTTCCACATCATGGGGCCACTGTGTGAGTCACTTAAATCAAGTTTATCATCAACTTTTTTTGTGCCTATCTTAGCTAGGGCTCTCTAGAGAAACATAACCAATAAGATATATAGAGAGAGTGGGATTTATTTTGAAGAATTGGTTTACACGATGGGTGGGATGGAGGTCATGCGCTGACATGTCCGAAATATATAGGCCACGCAAAAACAAAACAAAACGTGTTGCCATCAATTCAATTCCTACTCAGGCAACCCCATGTGTTTCAGGGTAGAACTGCATTCCACAGGGTTTTCAGTGATTGGTCTTTCAGAAATAGATGCCCAGGCTTTTCGATCAAAGCATCTCTGGGTGGATTCAAACTGCCAGCCTTTTAGTTAGTAGCCAAGTGCTTAATCATTTATGCTGCTCAAACACCATAGGTAGGCAACAGACTAGAAGTTCCGATGGTCTTATGTCCCAAAGTAGGTCAGGCAATAGAAGAGAGAAAGGAATTCTAGCAGGATATTATTCAGGGTAGTTGTTGTTGTTATCCCGTCAAGTCGGATCCGACTCATAGCGACCCCTTGGGTTTCTGAGGCAATACCATTACAGAAGTAGATTGCCCAACCTTCCTTCCAATTAGTGGCAGATAGGTTTGAACCACCAGCCTTCTGGTTAGCAGTCAAGTGTTGGTTAGGAGGCAGAATCCTCCACTGAGAAACTGTTCAACTGATTGAATGAGGTCCACTCACATTAAGCAGGATAATCTACTTTGCTTAAGAGCAACTGATATAAATGCTTATCTCATTTTGTTAACCAGGGTGCCTGAGACCTTGAGCAGGAGTTTTTGCTTTCTAGTGACAAAGGATTGAACAGGAGAGGCAAAATGTCCACACAAACCAAAGTTTATTAAAAAGACAGAGGAGAGGGGAGGGACTTGCAAGGGAGAGACAGAGAGGGGCTTTTGCCTACGCTAGCCTCCAGTCTAGGAGCTCTGGTATCTTAGTGCCTAAGGCACTTGACTGCTAACCAGAAGCTTGGCAATTCAAACCCACCAGCCACTCCTCGGAAGGAAGGTTGGCAATCTACTTCCATAGTGATACCACCTTGGAAACCCAAGGAGGAATGGCTATGAGTTGGTCCAACTCAACTGCAAATAACAATAGCCTCCAGTCTCTCTCTGAACAAAGGGATTGGTAAGGTTTATAAAGGGTCTTCAGCAGGAAAGAGGCATCATCTTTATTCATGAAATGGGTGGGATCTGAGGTTCAAATTACACATGCATGATGTCTCTGGACCCCAGTTTGACCTCTAGTAAGAGATTCTTGTTCTCACCTGCCTCTAGTGGAAGGTCACTTTGTCTGTCAAGTTGACCTTTACTGTGCATGCTCTTCACCTGGTGGGCACCTAATGAGAAACTTAAAAAAAAATAAAAAATCCAGAAGTTTGAAGAACTTTGTCAGAAGTTTGTCAGCATTTTTATAACTAGTTAAACTTAGGGTCCTTTACTGATATCTTAAAAGCTTGCAAGTGGCCATCTAGATGCAATGATCGGTCTCTCTTCATCCAGAGGAAAGAACAATGAAGAAAAACAAAGATGCATGGAAACAATCAGTCCAAGGGACTGGCATACCATACAATCCTCAGCCTATGTGACTATGAGATCAGAAGAACTAGATGGTGCCTGGCTACCCCTGTCAACAACCACTTGGAGGGGGATCTATGTAGGAGATCCTGGATAGTATCAGAGAACAATGTGGCACAAAACTCAAAATAAAAAAAATTTAAAAAAGTGACCAGATTTACTGGTCTTATAGAACCTGGTAGAACTCCTGAGACTATGGTCATTAGCTGCTCTTCAGGTCTATAATTGAACCCACTCCTGTGGCTTCTAGCCAAACAAAAGACAGGCATATGAGCTGAACATTTACATTAGGTAGATACACTCCTTGGAGAGATGAATCATGGGAGAATAGAAGGGCAATGTATGCACAGGAAGACAGTTTGGGGGACAGGAGTGCATGGGTGAGGGGGAAGGACACAGGGAAAAGGGAACTATGGGGAGGAAGTGGAAAGAGAGCTGTTGCATTGTGGAAAATTACAGTCAATGTCATGAGACAAAGTGTATGTGAACTGCTGTATAGAAGATAAATTTGCTCTGTAAACTTTCATCCAAATCACGGTAAAAAAAAAAAAAAAAAAACACTTAGGTTCCTTTAATTTGCTACATCTTTATCTTGCCCAAGTACCTGGCTTGCCAACTAATCAGTTCTCTGATGCCAGTGGCCAAAATTATGTAGTGGTCTTCATGTAGGATTAAATTTCAAGGGCATTGAGTCAGAGACCTGTTTGACCTGGTTAGCCCGATTCCCTGCCTGGGAAATTGAATTTCAATACATGAAATTATGTCTCAATTTAAATACATCATAGTGACATCTAGACTAGTGTTTGACCAAACAACTGGGCTTCAGAGTCTAGCCAAGTCGACATATGAAATTAACCATTACAGTACCCTGTTAACTTTTACAATGGAAAGTAAGAGACTGTGAAACCTTATCTTCATAGGCTTATCTAGAGCATAGCAGGTATGGCACATGCCCGGGGTGCCACTTGAAGGGAGGCCCACTGAGCAGTTTCTATTAAGTTGGTCGGCCAACGTTTTTCCTCAAGCAAGATAGACATCCATGGGCCTAGCAAGGGGGGGCAGAAGACAGCACTTGCCCCAGTTGCAAGTCCAAAAGGATGTCAGACAAGGCACAGAATGACATTATGGGATTCCACAAATATGAAAGACACCTGACTGGGGAAGCCAGATAAGAGGGGGACTGTGTTTCACATCACCACTATCAACTTAAATTGGAGAGGGTCCACAATTTAGAGATTGTGCCAGTAAGTCGGCCCCGACTCATAAGGATCCCTCCTTGGGTTTCTGAGGTGGTATCACTATGGAAGTAGATTGCCTAACCTTCCTTCCTAGGAGTGGCTGGTGGGTTTGAACCACCAGCCTTCTGATTAGCAGTCAAGTGCCTTGGCATTATGCTACTGGAGCTCCCTCAAATTGGAGTGGTGAGTGCAATTTAGATATTGCCTAGAGCACCCATTAACCTCTCTATGTACCTGGACCTAACCTCTTCCATTCTTTTTCCAACAGTATATAGTAAAACATAATACATATGAAATATGAGCACAAAAAAAGAATCCTATTGAGGGCATCTAATTTAGTCTACTCTTTCATTTTTAGAAAAAGGAAGATTGAAAGGATTGGACCTACTCACAAAGCTTTAAAAGTGTTCTTTTGTTGCCAATTCAATTATTTTTCTTCTTACACTATCTGCCCTTAATTTAAAATTTTATAACATATTTGATGCATCATGATCATGTGGACTTAAACATTTTACTAAGAGTCAGGTATTTTTAGAACCATTATTGTCACTTGTGACATTCAGAATTCAGTTAACTATTTGTGCCTAAGTTTCCTAAGTTAAGGAGGAAATGAGAAGACTATTTTCGATAATGTCTAAAATCTTTGATAAATCAGTACAATACAATTATAATCCTCTACCAACACTTTTCTAGGTAAGTGCAGAGAGCTGGGCTAAATCCAGCATGTTTGTTAAGGAGCGTGGAAGATATTTTGGTTGGAGCAGCCAGACGCTATAAGAGATCTGTCAAGAATTACATATTGTGGGTTCATGATGTGTTTCAAGGCTGTGTGTTGTTCATCAGGATATTCTAAATAAAGCAAACCTAAAATGAACTTCTCTTGCATAAATTGGTAAAAATCTGTTGCCATAAACTCAATTACAATTCATAGATACCCTATAGGACAGAGTAGAATTGCCCTAGATGGTAAATCTTTACAAAGCCAACTGTCACATCTTTCTCCCACAGAGCGACTGGTGGGTTCCAACCACCAACCTTTCGGTTAGCAGCTGAACACTTAGTCACCACCAGGGCTTGTTTTTCCTTTTGCATTAAAAAAAAAAAAAAAAAAAAAACCTCCAACCAAACTCACTGCCTTCAAGTCGGATCCAATTCGTAGCAACCCTTCCTTGCGTTTCCAAGGCAGTATCTCTACAGAGGTAGATTGCCCAATCTTCCTTCCAAGGAGTGGCTGGTGGGTTTGAACCACCAGCCTTCTGGTAAACAGTCAAATGCCTTAGGCACTACACCACCAGAGCTCCTTGCATAGTGCCTTGTAAAAGGTAAGAAATCAAAATAACTTGCTCATTTGGGTTGGTTTGAGATATCAGAGAATGTTACAGGAAAGATGAGAGGAGTAAAAATTTGAAGAGGAAAATAAATGAAGCACATAAGAGAATGAAGCCGAAAGATAGAATATTAGAAATAGCAATGACTAAGGCCAGAAAAAAAGGCATTAGGTGGAGCTGCTAATTATGATTCAAATAAATAGCAATTAGAACTGTCTCTCAATTTCAATCATTCAAATAGGTATAGTACTTGATAATTTTTGCAAAAAAAAAATAATAACTATATTAACATTTACAGTATTTTTCTTTAAAGTCTCACTTTTCAATGCAATGGAAAATGTATCTCAAACACCTACTATGTAGCAGGCACTATTCTCAGATTGTGGGGTACATCAGTGTTAAATAAAACACTACGGCATTTTAGAGCCTACATTCTATGGAGGAAGGCAGATAATACACAAGAAAGATAACAAGTACGCAAATGATAGGTTAGATTAGATGATAATAAATGTTATCGCAAGCATACAGCAGAAGTGAGAAATTAAGAATATTCGGAAGGAAGTTCGGCAATTTTAAATAGTCAATTAAGAAAGTGATATTTGTACAAAGATTTGTAAAAGTCTTTACTGAGTCTATCTACAGTAAGAATCTTCCAGGTGGAGGAAACTCAAAGCACAAAGGATCTGAAGAGTGAAAGCATGCCTGGTATGGCTGAGAAACCGTTGTCCTGAGGGAGTTCAAAAAGAAAAAAAAAACTGACTTATTTTGATCCAAATTTTGACTAAATTACTCTGGTTTCTCTTTTTGAAAACGGACTCTAGAAGCCAAAGAAAGATAACAAGTAACCCCAGGAGACTACTTAGAAAATCATTGCAACAATCAGGCAAGAGAAGATGGTGCCCCTTCAATATATGTTGCCTCTTGTATAATCATCACTTATCTTGAATTCAGCTGTTACACACAGGCTCAGCTAGGAGCTACATGCCCTCTTCTGTGCTTGGACAAAGGAGCTCTGGTGGGGTAGGGGTTAAGGTATTTGGTTGCTAACCAAAAGTTTGGTGCTTCAAATGCACCAGCTGCTCCACAGAAGAAAGATAGGATGGTCTGCATCTGTAAAGATTTACAGCCTTGGAAACCCAGTGGGGTTCCCTATGAGTCAGCATTGACTTGATGGCAGTGAGGGAGTGCTTGGCAAAATGTAGCTGTTCCTAATTGTTATCATGTATTGTTCTGGTTATTTCTTGCTGCTCTGACAGGAATATACCACAAAAGTGATGGCTTTAACAAACAGGAGTTTATTCTCTTACAATTTGGAGGCTTTAAGTCTGAGTTCTAAGTGCTGGGCTCTAGGGGCTGGATGAAAGCCCTTCAACCTTGGGCTTCAGCTCTGCCTCCTGTTCCTGGCCCACTGAAGCTAGAGTCTTTTCTTCACTCAGATAGCTGTTGGCTGCTGAGACTGACAAGTCCAAGGTTGACAAGTAAAAAGGCACAGTCTCCGAAGTTACCAACCCACACGTCAGGCCATTAATTCAAGTCCATTGAAAGTCTCAAGGTTGGCAGAGCATGGCAGGCTGCTGAACAATGACATGGCTGCAAGCATGCCATAAGCTAGAGATCATTCCCAAGTGGCTTCTTATATACGGGAAGCAGACCACATCCCTTAAAGCAGCTACTCAGCTGCATAGTTTCCACCATGGAGTTGATTGCCACTTTCATCATGGGGAATACTACATGCAGCTGCCCAGCCACTCAAGCAGGCCCAGCCAAGTTGACACACAAACGTAACCGCCACATGTATGTTTCTAGATAAGCTGCAGTACACACTTTCATGGACAGTTCAGATATAGCGTGCCTGTAACAATGTAGAGAAATTTTGCTTCATCCCATCATCTTTGCCGTAAACTCTTGCTGTTGTGAAATGCTCTCAAGTCAATTCCAACTCAAAGCAACCCTATAGGACTGAGTGGAACTTCCTCATAGGATTTCCTAGGCTGCAATCTTTATAGGAGCAGATTGCCAGGTCTTTTCTCTTGTGGAGTGGCTGGTGGGTTCAAACCACCAATTTTTTGGTTAACAGCTGAGCACTTAACCATTATGTCACCAGGGTTATTATTTTATCTAGTCCACTGTTCTGAATTAGTATAGCCTTAATATTCAGAATCCAGAATTATTTTTCTTGGTTATCATGATTTCTTGGACTCATTCACTCTATTCTGGGAATTTATCAAACCAAAACCAACATTAAAACACATGACATTTCTTCATTGCCACACTTTGTGACTTAATTAACTACTTAAACCAGTTAAGTATACTTCTTCTACTCCTAATGGCAATTGTCTCTATACTTACCACATTTTTTCAATAGTCACTTGTTGTATATTAAAAGCAATAGACAATATAATAGAATAAACTCCTTGCATCAAGTCAGATCTGACTCACAGCGACCCCTCCTTGGGTTTCTGAGGCGGTATCACTATGGAAGGAGATTGTCCAACCTTCCTTTTGAGAAGTGGCTGGTGGGTTTGAACCGCTAGCCTTCTGGTTAGCAGTCAAATGCCTTAGGCACTGTGCCCCAGAGCTCCCCATAGAATAGAATAGTCATAATAATTTCATCCAAAACCTATATCTCTTAGATTTTTGAAGAAGTATTTAAGATCCCAAATTTATTTTTTAACACAGAACTATACACACCTTCCTCCCCAATGCCACATTTATCATCACTTTTGTGGAGAAGGCAAAAGATAATCATAATTATTAAATACAGGTGCCATTTAGGAGGCCAAAGTTCTTTTGATAAGCATCTTTAATGAACTTGACACAATTTCTACTCACATATTATCAGCATGGGAAGCTGTGAATGCTTCCCAATATTATGGAAATCCCCACTGGAAATAAAAACAGAACCAGTGGGACAACTAAAAAACAAGAGAGATACAAATTATTATATGAAGAATACTAGTGTGTTCTTAGTTATCTAGTGCTACTATAACAGAAATGTCATTAGTGGGTGGCTTTAACAAACTGAAATGTATTTTCTCATAGTTTAGGGGGTTAAAAGTCCAAATTCAAGGTGCTGGCTCTAGTAGAAGGCTTTCTTTGCCTGTCGCCTCTGGAGGAAGGTCTGTGTCTCTTTTGAGCTTCTGCTCCTAGGTGATCTTCATGTGGCTTGCCATCTGTCTTCCCCTGTCTCTACTGCTTGTTTGCTTGTTTAATCTCTTTTATATCTCAAAAGAGATTGAGTCAAGACACACCCTACATGAATCCTATCTCATTCACATTACAAAGGTAACCAAGTCCCAAATGAGAATATAACCACAGGCATAGATTTTAGGAAGCTGTTGTTGTTGTTGTTATATGCCATCAAGTCGTACATAGTGACCCCTCCTTGGGTTTCCGAGGCAGTATCACTACAGAAGTAGATTGCCCCATCTTCCTTCCGAGGAGTGGCTGGTGGGTTTGAACCACCAGCCTTCTGGTTAGCAGTCAAGTGCCTTAGCCACTATGCTACCAGAGCTCCCAGATTTTAGGATATACAGCATATATATTTGGGGAAGACACAACTCAATCCATAGCAACTAGTTACATTTCAGTAATGTATTTTTTTTATAGTAATTACTTGGGAACTGATACAACAAGAAAAATACTAATCATAAAAAATAATATGCAAAATCATGTTTTGGGTTCCAAAATTTTAGTGTATCTGTCAATGGGATTGACTTCTTTATAGTCATTATCAGACTTTTATTTGTTTTCTGATTGATACAATTTAAAAAGGAGACTTATTTCCTGTGAAAGGAGATGCTCCACAACTATACAAAAACCTAGTAATCAGAAATGTGGCAGACATACTCTCTGGGATATTTACTTACGATTATAAAAAAGGAAAGTGTTGCAGTTTATTGATGATGATGGTCATGATCACGTAGAACAACAGTAAAATAGGTCTGATTGCATTGAAGATTTTCCTAATATCATCATTTAGCTGTTCAGAAATATATTTTGCCTTCCACCTGTGTCTGAGATACTACTAGAAGTTGAGGAACGACATGTCATACACAGTGTCTAATGCAGCTTCATTTTTTTGAGGACCAAAAAGACTAATAGAGCCAGAATTAAGATTCCTTGAAACACAAAGAATGTATGGCTTACTCCAGGTAAATTCCAAATCAATAATAGAATTGAAATTCGAGCGCAGCTTTTCTGACTCCATGTCTACAGTGCTATAACTAGCATGTGATACTTGTTGGTAAATACAAAAACCACAGCCTCTCTGTCTTATTTCTCAGCTAGGATAATGAAGTTTGTTGGGGTAGTGATGTCTCTTAACATTTTCACCTCAGGTTTTTTTGTTTTTTTTTTTTTCATTTTGTTTACTACTACACCCCACATTTCTCTGCCATCCTCCACTCCCTCTCCATTATTTTGAAAGCATCTTCTCACAGATACTGTATGAATAAACACCACAGAGTTGATCATAAATGATGGACGCATGAATCCATACACAATTGTGAAATAAGTTTCCCTGAGTAGCTGTGCTTCTTATTTGAAACCTGTCAAAATAAAATACAAAAGGATAAGTAAAATAAACATAGAAATATTCTCTATATGATGCTAAAACAAATTGGCAAGGATATTAATAAGAAGAGTTTCTGAAGTGCCTATATTATGGAAAACAAACCATGAATTTAGAGTTTATTGGTTCTTAATTGGTAGCGGAATAGTCCCCATTATTAAGACAGAAAACAACTCTGTGTTTCAAGAAACATTGCTAGTGGGATAAAGTAAAAAAGCTTCTGACACAAAACAAAAGTCACTGTATATTCTATAGAACATTATTTACTTTTTTAAAATCATGTATTTATTTGCCTCTTACCTGGATATTTATTTATAAAATCAAGGAACAGATTACTGAAATTATTGCTGGGTACACTTAGTGAGTAGACAAGAAACCAAAACTTTAATGTTGAAAAGGATTTAGAATTTAAAAAAGACTCACAGATATCAAGGCCATTTAAAGTACAAAGGAAAAGTTCATAAAGGTTCCCCCCCACCCCCGACCAAAAGTAATGATTGAATTAAACTCAGTTCTTACTGAATTAAACTGGTCTTTAACTTGTTTATGCACCTGGAACTTCATGTTTGCTTAGTTGCAGAGTCAAAGCAAACCTTTCAACAAGCTCTTGTTATCTACAAGCCATAAAAACTAAGAAGTAATTTACCTCTATGGTCAAGCCAGGATGTGAAAGAAGTATACTCTAAGAAAGGGAATCTTGACACTGTAGTCTTTTGTATAAAGTAGGCCCAACAAATATTTCTTCATAACAAAGATATAATAAGGAGAATTGATTAAAAGGGATTTTGAGTTCGCCTTATGTAAATTTTCTCAGACAACTTAAAATGGTTTTTTTTTAACAAGCTGTTTTGGAGAATGAGGTTTTGGTATCAAGATGTTTTTTGCCTGAGATATATGGTTAAAAATCCATCAGTGATATTTTATGATCCCATCTAGAGGATATATGACTATGATTGAAAACCTCTATAACTGGTTCCTGAAATCAATCATTGTAAACTCCTATACTGAATTATCCAATAGAAGTCCATTCCCTACCCCTGACCACCTTCCTTGTGACTTCAACCAGAAACTAACCAATAAAATGACTGTGTTATAATTTCTTTGTTCCCTGGACTATATCTGTCTTGGTTAGCAGTGCTTTAGATGGAGTCATCAATTCTCATTTATGTGGCCTGTTGTCTCCCTGAATTTGAATGTACCTTTTCTTTCCCCCTTGAATAAATCCTCTTAATCTCATTTTAGGGATTGAGTGGGTTTTCTTGCAACAACAAAAGAAAAAATAAACAACTCTACATATAAGAACTAGATGGTGCCTGGCTACCAATGCCAACCACTCAGGAAAGGATCAAATCTGGAGATCCTGGATAGGGTGGGAGGAAAAATGTGGAACAAAATCCAAAAACTCAATAATGACCAGAATTACTGGTCAGATGGATTCTGGTGAGACCCCCAATACTATGGCCCTGGGACACTTTCTGGGCCTGGAATAAAACTCACTCCCAGGGGCTGGCTTTCAGCTCAATAGTAAATAAGATGTACACATAGACCACTCAACCTAGGATGATGCACCCATATACTCTGTGGAAATGCATCCCTTGGAGCAATTGACCACGGTGCACCAGAGGGGCAACATTCACATAGAGGAAACGCAGGACACACAGGAGTACATAACTATGAGGGGCACGGGGGGCGGGGGCTGTTATTGGGCAGGGAGGGGAGGAGACTGGGTTAGGGCTGGGGATGGTAAATACGGAGTGAAACTAAATGTACGTGTAATGTTGGATGTAAAACAAACTCTGCTCTGTAAACTTGCACCTAAAGCACAATTTTTAAAAAATAAAATAAAAAAACAACTCTACATA